CACGGGGGGTGGGAGATGAGAACGTAGGGGAGGGAGAGACCACTAAAGGAGGGAGGGGGCGGTGGAGAGACCACTAGGGGAGGGGTGTGAGGAGAGACCGCTAAGGGAGGGGGGTGGAGGATAGACCACTAGGGGAGGGTGGGGGGAGAGGAGAGACCACTAATGGAAAGGGGGGGCAGAGGAGAGCAGAGGCCACTAAGGGGGAGACGAGAGACCACTAATGGAAAGTCAGGGAGAAAAGGAGACCACTAAGGGAGGTGGGGGGGAGAGGAGAGACCACTAAGGGGCAGGGGAGATCTCTAAGGGATGGAAGGGAGAGCTCTATAGGACAGGGGGCAGGACAGGGAGCTCTTTCACACCACGCGCACACACACACACACACACACACACAATGCATCCCTATACACACAGAATCACAACATGCTTCCCTTACACACAGAGAAACACACAATGCAACCCTTACACATAAAGACAATGCATCCTTTGCACATATACACAGAAACACACAATGCATCCCTTACACACCCATGCAAACACACACTGCTTCTCTTACACACACAGAAACACAATGCATCTCTTACACACACTCAATGCACCCCTTACAGACATACACACTGCATCCCTTACATACACAGAAACACACAATGCATCCCTTACACACACATGCAAACACACACACACTGCTTCTCTTACACACACACAGAAACACAATGCATCTCTTACACACACTCAACGCACCCCTTACAGACACACACACTGCATCCCTTACATACACAGAAACACACTTTGCATCCCTTATGCATACAAACACAGATTCACACAATGCATTCCTTACACACAACAAGAAACACACAATACATCCCTTATACACAAACACTCACTGCTTTCTATCCCTTACACAAAAACACACTGCTTCCACTACACACAAACATACTGCATCACCTACACAAACTGGGATCCCTATACACTACATTCCATAAGCACACACATTAGATCCTCTACAGTAACACATAACACATCCCCTACACACTCCACACCATGTGAGCGAACTCATGGGTGGAACATGTAGGTGGACTTATGGGTGGTCCTTATGGGCATACTCACCGTCAGGCCCTGAGGCCCCCAAAAATGGAGTTACTTCCCGTTCTCCCAGAACATTGAATTTTGTGACCACAGTTACAAACAGCCTCCAGAGATCCTGTTCTACACCAGACCAGTGGAGTCAGACTGCAGCCAGAGCCCATCACTATCCTCATCTGATTGTAAGTAGGCAATCTAGTATATTATTAGTGAAACTAATCTCTAATTTACCTCACATTAAATGGACACTATAGTCCCCAGAACCACTGCAGCTTAATGAAGTGGTTCTGGTGTCTATAGTCTGTCTCTGCAGGCTTTTTAATGTAAACACACACTGTGTGCAGCACTGGCGTTAGTTCATATGGCAGATCATATGGGTGGGGCATTGCGATGTCACTGGGTGTGGGGGTTGGGGGAGGGGGGCAAATCTTTATTTTGCCTATGGCGGCAAAAATCCTTGCACCGGCCCTGCAAAGCAAGCATGCATATTTTTTTCTCGCATATAGTAGATTTGACAAAATAGATAAATAAAAATGGTCAAATACTTTGCTTATAATCTGAAGGCATTACTAACACTGCAGCTTACGTTTGAGCGGACTCAAGAGTGGACTCTATGGGCGGACTGGAAGGTTAAAGTTGTGGGCAGACTTGGGGGCAGCCCAGGTGGGGCCAAGGCTTTGAGCTGTGTAAGTGGCCCCCACATTTTTGATAATAGCCTTGTTCATTTGACTTAGCAATTAAAATCCACATCCATCGGGTGGCCCTGACAGCATGGACCCCTCCATATCCGGCCCTGGCGGATTGCCGCGCATGCCAGGACCGCAAGTGGTGATCGCGGTACCCGGTTGCAGGGGTACCGCCAGCTCGCACCCGCCCGCCCAATCTGTCAAAATTAGAAAATCCCTACCGCCCACCTGGAATCCTGAAACATCCACTAGTGGGCTGTAGGGACCAGGTTGACGACCCATGGACTATGACATCTTTTTTACATTAAAGAGGGACCAATGCTGATTCAATCAAAAGAACACACCGAATCCAAACATGTGCTATACATTCTTGACCTTTTAAATTTTAGGTCAGCATATACTTCATTTGTATTATTATTTCCACACCTTAATACAGATGATTCCCCAGGACTTTAGGTTGTGTTCCTTTCCACTGTCTAATTCATGCCTCTATACATCAGGATCCCATTAAGTGTGAAACCGGTGTGGGGTAAAAGGTATATGAGTTGCATTACTGGCCCTGCCAAAAGGGGTGGATCCACACAGAAAGAAGGTTGGATCTCCTGGATAGCTGGCAGGTCAGCTTGGCATGACACTTGCCCACCAAGGGCAGACCATGCTGGGAGCATTGTGTCAATTCTTTTTGCATGGTCCTAGAGCCATGATCTTAGAGCTCGCACGTTTAATGATGTGCTCTTTCTATGCTTTTAGGGGCTGTTTCCTGGTGTCCCCAAAAGCAGGAACCCAGGAAAGAAAGTCAGGATAGTGAGACATGACCCCGGAATCAGGGCTGTTGCACAGACATCAGGAATGTTGAAAGGCATAATCTGACTGGTTTTCACTATTTGGACAGCAAACAGCAGAAATCAAAAGAGCTCCAAAATATGTTTATTTCATTTAAGCAAAATGCAAATGTAATGAATCACTGACATGCAACAAAGGATGTAACAGCTCTTTATGAATGCAGCACCCATATTTAATCAATTCATAGCACATCAGATAAGCCAAACTTCCTCACGTAGTATAGGCAATCAGTATACTCAGAAAAAGCATCTACTGGATGTGAGTGACACCGGGCAACAAATAGATTCTATGAACAAATGCCTATTATATAACAGTTATCCCTTAACTAGAATACAGAAATAAATTGTCAAGATAACCCTGCTTGGGAGAGCTTATATTGCAATTAAGCCATAAAAATGAGGATAAATAACAGCTCCTGCCATTGTCAGACCAGTTTGCCCTTGACCCCATAGTGAGGGGGGTTGCAACATAATAGCTGATAGGGTGGGTAGAATCTGTCCTTGATATAAAGGATCTAGTATGATTAAGTTATCTAAAGTGAACCACCAGCTGTCCCTGGACTACAAAGATGGGAATTACAGTCCAGCAGCATCCAAAAGGCTGCAAATCATCAATAACCTGCATCTATCTCCTTTTTTCTTATAAGTAGTTATTGTATATTCATCATTGGTGTATATGGTAAAATCATGCAGATTCTTGTCTACATTTAGCTAATTAAAACCTTGCTATAGGCCATTTTAACCCCTTATTGGCTAATCATTGTGCCATCATAATGATCTATTCTTATTAATTATACTCCAAAACTGAATGGCACACTCAATATACAACTGAAGGGTTGCACGGAACTGGCAAGGCAGTAAAAACTGATGATTTTATAAAGGTATAAGGTCATTAGGAACAAGATTGCAATGGCAACAAAGTGTTATATTTGGCCTTAAGGGTTAAATAAAAATGTGGTCATTAATCAAAATGTGTTGGCTTTATACTAGCAATTTCTGTTTGCGAGAATGCAGGCAAATTTTAGCAGTTTTCTTTATTCACAATGCTCAGTATCAGGTGAGCAGCGAGCAGATAATCTAGAAAAAAAGCCAAAATTACATATTGTGACAGCCCTTTGAGTTCTGGGAACATTACCAGCAGCGATTTCATAGATTCTTGTGGTGTGGAATTAATAAGGTTGCTGACCTTTCCACCCAGAGGTCACTGCTAATATATCGAACAAATATACTATTGGGATTTTTATTCGTTCCAAGACAGTAGAAACGAAAAAAATGGTTTCTTACATACCTAAGCTATGTTAGTGCCGATCTAATGTATCATTTTCATATTTGCTAAGAATTGCTTGCTGTATTCGACTGAACAATATTCTCCCAGACAGACCACATACAGGCATTTGAATTGCCATACATTAGTGAGCTTACATCTACTGCTAGAACTAAACTCTTTACAGAGATCACTAAAAATGAATATTATGCTCGAATGATCGTCCCTTATAAAATGTATTATTTGCTGAAATTTCAAAGTCTTACCAATTACATTTTCTAAATGTATGCAATGCATTAGCTAGGGATATTCATTTCACCTAACACCTCCTGGATTTGACTGCTATCTTCATAAAAGATTCTATTTCGTATTCTCACACCGAACACGGTTTTCAATCTTTTTTCAATTAAATTAAGTTGAACTATTTTCCAGAGTAATGCAGAGGCCAAGAAGCAGACACAAATTTCACAGACATAGATCTTGGACACTTACATTAATTCTCTATGCACAATAGGCTTCTGGGCTCATCCTCTAGGACACGATGGGTTAAATAATACTGGTGTAATTGCTAATCTAGACATGGAAAATATAGCTGAGTGCATTGGAGCAAAGGGGATCCAACACACCGTATTATGCATTGTTCTGTTTTTATGCAACTGGTGACATTTCAAACTATTTGAAAGAACCGAGAATTCTTGTCACCATATATCCATTTATAAAACAAAATCTGGTTCCTGTAGAAAATAGTACAGTGATGTGTTGTTTGATTATCGTCACGGCTTATGGAATTTTTTTAAAGTGTGTATAGTTATGCATTATTAAGACATTTGGGTTGCTCCCTAACCTGGAAATTGTGGTAATTGGAAATCAAAGGACAAAAAAGCTAAGTTGGGAAAATAGCCAAACGGAAAGAAAGTTTGGCGTACAATTTTTAATTCCCTTTTATTTGTAATTGTGTTGCCTACAATTCTCAGTTTAGTGAATAACTCTATATATCTTTCAAACAATGTGAGTATTTATGAATCAGCTGTTGTTATTCACTAATCTGACAATTGTGGAGAAATCATAAGGTAATTCATTTTTTTTTCCAGTTCAAAATAATTATAATGGAGAATTATCTCAATTTACTGTTTTGGGCTGAAATTTTGAATTGCCTTTTCAGTTCTCAGCAATGCCAAGGTAAATAAATAGCCAGTGCCAGGTTGTGTTTTTCCACAGAATAAAAAGAGGTAATATGCTAATTTTAAGTACTTTATTTATTTATTAAAATATTTTACCAGGAAAGATACATTGAGATTTCTCTCGTTTTCAAGTATGTCCTGGGTCCACAAAACATTGCATTGATACAATAGGGTACAATATACAAACACAATATATATACATACATATACATAAACACACACACATATAGTACTTAGCACATTACTTTAGAAAATGAAACCGGTTAGTTAATTTTTCAGTTGAACATCATTACAAACAAGCTCA